AATCTACATGCAAACAACCTACTTCTTCATGAACAATTCCATTTTATTGACTGAATTTTTCTCATATTTTCACATTTCTCAGTCCTGAAGAATAAGGAAAAAGCGATGCCTATTTTGTATAAAGTTTCTGATTACGTCTTGGCTATGTCTAGTACTTGCTATGTGTTGGGAGAAACTTTGTGGATGCACCATTTTGATTATCATGAAACACTGATGAAAAATGCCTCCGAACATTTTTCTGTACTCATAACTAGATTCACAATGGTTGTGTATCTCTATAATGTGAAATATTTTTTTGTGGTGGAAAAAAGGGGGCCAAGGAGGTTATGAGCCATCAAACTGGAAAAAAAAAAAGTAATAAAAAAGGATGAATATATGATTAGAAAAAAAAGAAACAAAAACCAGGGCGTGGGGGCGGGCGTGGGAGGGTTTATCATTGCTTAACTTCATCTTAATGAAATGGAACTTTGTAACTTATTGTAGTTAGAAATTGTAACTTTGATATTGAATTCTCTTGCCTTCAACAAGCACACTGACAGAGAAAAAAATTGCTACTGTCTGTTGGTAAAAAAAGAATATACTTCCACTGCTAGAGCTTCCTGTTAAGCAAGTGTGATCTGCAACATTTTTTCAACTTTTGCTAGCACTGTATACTATTGCATTCTTAGGCTACTGTGAAGTCTATGTTTCTTGTACCAGAAAATTGTCCTTTTGACTTCTAGATCCTTCTTCCCTAATGTGTTTTGTATGTGGTTATAAAATTGTAGACTTTTGTGATTTTGCCAAAGTTGTAGCTAAATATTTATACACTTGTCTTGAATTTTTTTCAGATCCACTTAAATATTTAGAAAAGCAAATTTTATTCCTTATGAAGCCTATAAGGAATAAAATAGTCTTGTCCATTGCAACACTTTCTTTCACACAAACACTTGCAGTCACTAAGGGAATTTATTTTGTAACATATCAACTATAAATATTGTATTTATCTTTGAAATTTTGTATATTGCTTTTCATCATTTTTTTTTCTTGTATGTATTGGTTTTCATCATGGCCTGGTATCGTGATGCTGAGCATAGCATTAAGCCAACAACCGCTGCCTTCACCTTTTCCTTTCAAATAAATCAGTGTCCGTACATTTCATTTGTACTTCATGAAGTTGCTGTTATTTAGGCTTTACATCCTTTTTTCTTTTTTTTTAATTTTTGAGGAAAATAAAAATTCATTGTTTATTTTTATATTATTTTTAAGTTATCAGAACAAATAATTTTGAAAAAAAAGTTGTTTGTTGTATAGTCAAACCGAAATTGTGCCACATGGCTGTAATGAATACTAGTAGAATATGTGCATGTGATACAGCCACAGAACAGGTGACTCTATTTTGTGGCTGCATTTCTTTTTGGTTTGTTTTGCTTTTCTTCTTTTATTTCTTTTTTTAATTTTTTAACGTTTTTTTAAAAAAGATTGTAAAAAGTCATTTTTAGCTGCCACCCATGACTTTGCCACATAGCTGAACTGTGTTTACTGGAAAAATTCAGAGGCCTAAAGTTTAAAATAAATTCACTTCTGATGTTTTAATTAAAACGTTTGCCACATTAACTTCTCTGATGCCTTAAAAGTGAACTTCTTTGAAGAACTTTTGTGCTGTTTTATCACAGGCTTACACCACGGTCGTTAATCACTACTTCATTTGGATGATTTCTGGTGTAAAAAAGAGAAAACAAAAGCACAAACCTGGTGTACAATTCTATCGCTCCTTTACGTGTCTATTTTCTGCTGCACTCTGCATTCTCCCGAACCCTGCACTGGTTAAAAAAAGATCAAGGTTTCACGTGAAATCAGGACCATACATGATTTTTAAATGTCTGGGGTTTGTTTATTTAGGTTTCTTGGTTTTTTTAATGGAACTTTTTGTAACAGACCCGTAGCTGACTGTACTTTTTAAACTGGAATGACCTCCGTTGTGTATCTTGGCTCTTAGTGTCAAATCCATACAGAGAAACGCGGATTTTCTTTTTTTTTGTTTTTGTTTTTTTTTTTTTTTTTTACTTTGCACTAACTAGTTTGCAAACGCAGCACTGCAAAACACGTTGCAAACTGCAGCAGAATTAAAAAGTTGGAACCAAAAAAGGAGGGACCTTTTTTTTTTTTGGTTGTTGTTCTTTCTGGGCAAAAATGCACATTTTAGTCAAGCATTTGTCAAAGGGTTTAGAAGAACGACAGAGCGTAGCGCGGAAATGCCGCGCGCGTTTCCTGCGCGGTAACGAGTAAGGCTTAGCTAAGTGGAGAAGCCTGAGAAGTCACTTTGGAACCGAATCGCCTCGTTACGTTTTGTCTGAGGAAGGTTTTGCTCTACAGGAGAGGTCACGCGTACACGTCAAGAAAGTTTGCAAGTTTCTTCATAAACGCAATCTGTTTGTGTTTTAGATGACCTAGTCGATGCACTCATTGCTTCATTGTCTCCAGACGGAAAGCTTCACTAAATGGTAGATTTTACTGTTAAAGACCCTACAATAAGATTGTTTTATCTGTACATTTTTTCATATATTTAACTGTATAAAAAAAAAAATGTTCATTTTACACAATATTTAATTAAAGTATTTCTTGTCTGTGAATTTCATTTTTAGTAATTTTATCTGGTTTGATTATTAAAAAAAGTGACTAAACACAAACCAAAAAGACGCAACACTGGGGGTTTCATTTCTAAAGATCAGAACGTGACGTCATGTCTTGGTTACGGAAAAGCACAACCCTTGACGTGGGCTTTTCGGTGCCCCAGGAGAGCCAGCCCAGGCAGCCCCGAGGACGATGAGGAAGGAGACCTCTGCTCCGCAGCCCAGCAATGACCTGTTGCTCAGCCTTGGTGAAGTATTTAACCCAAACCGTGCTGCAGACACCCTTTTGGTAACACAGAGGTAATCAGTAGAGTAATTTTTAATTTTTTTTTTCTATTTTAATATCATCTTGTAAAAGCCTGTAAACGAGAAAAGTTATTTTACCCACGGCACAACTCCAATTTTCCATGCAGCGCTTTGACGCCGGAGGTCGACGTACTCGTCTTTTAAATGCTGATAAGGAAGCAAACCCTGTTGCTAATTATAATGTTGAAGACAAATATTTCATCCTCTGGACCGTAGCACGTGCAACGTACACGTAACATACTTGAAACATAAATATGCCGCGGCGGGCATGGCTCATCCTCGTAGCTGGAGGGTGGTTTTACTGGAGGCAGTTACAATGCTAAGCCTGCAGCAGGGGTCTGGGTTCCCTACCCCAGCTGCCAAGTGTGTGCCCGCATCGCTGCGTGACCACAGCCACCAAAACAGGGTATTTGTACCGGAATTTGTGCTGGAATATGGCTCTGGCAGAGCAACGCCAGGGAAGTAATGCTGGCGAAGCAGGGGGCTCGTTACCCGAGTTTTATTCTGTCGTTACCAGAGGGCTGCCGACAACTTCGAGAGGGCACCGAGACACTCCGAGCGCCGAACTACCGCGTGTGCGCGTGTACGCTCCCAGCGACACGCCGTATGCCCGAGTCTCTCCTTCATCGCCCCGTGTTTCCGCACTTAAGTGATGGAATGTGACGAGAAGGTGCTGCTTAATGCAGTCACAATTGGCAAAGAAGGAAAACTGGGATATTTAACTATGTTTCCTTTCTTCTCCAAGATTTCCATAGTTTTCATGTTTGATGAAAGCAGATGTTAAAAATACAGAGCACTTTGGATTATTATCATTATTATGCACTGACAACTGTTCCCCTTTGAGCATGTATCTGTGTATCACGTTTAAACGGCGGCACAATCAGATGCATCCCACTTAAAAATAAGATGGTTTATAGGGATGAAAGTCTCCACGATGCCTACCGGCGCTTTTCCTTTTAGGTTTATTTCAAAGATTTGAATAATGAGCATCTAAACGGTTCGCCTAACTTTCAGTGCAAAGGAAATACAAAAGAAAACGCATTTTGTGCTAGGAATGACAAGTGCTAGAGCAGCCCACCACCTACGACACATCCCTATCTGGAACTCGGGAAGAGCCCGGGCGCGAAAATACGATGCGTCAGCCTACAGCGAGTCGAGACGTGGGAAGATGATAAAAATTCCTTAATCAAAATGAAGGGATAGAGCCTCTAAAAGTATATGCCAATTATGGCAGAGCAGCTTTTTAAAGTCTTTCAAGCTTTTAAAGATTATTCAAAGCACTTGAAATAGGCTTCACTCTAATGCCTCATTTCATTGCATTAAACAGCCTAGTTAATAAAGAATCAATATATTCAAAGGGCAAGGTTATCTTTTGTCTATAAGGGGTGGTGTCATTCTGAACCTTTTATAGTTCAAATGCTGAAAAAGACCTCATGAAATCCATACTCATCAAGTGGGTCAACTAGAGCAATAAAGAGGCCTCTGAAAGAATGGCTGCGCTCCTTTAAAACAACTATAAGTCTTATCTCCCCACATGGCGCTCGCCAGGCTCCGCCAGAAAATGTCAATTTCTCATCAAGACAAGAGGCCCAACCATAATTTTTTCGAGAGAATACACACAATTAGGAGAATGCAGAAAGGCCCCATCAGTGATTTGTAGCTTATTATGTCACCGGCAAGCTGCGATCCGCCGCTAAGCAGATAATAAGGGCGGTTGATAACTAAAGTGTCGATACGCCAAAGAACGATTTTTGAATGTGAGCCCTTGTGCTGCCCCGGCCCCCGCTCCTCATGCAGATCGCGGGGCCGATAACGGTGCATCTGCCAACCGACACTGCCTGTTGGACCTCACAATTAATGCCGTGAATAAATAGCACAAAAGAGTTTGGATTCTTTATATTCTTTGAGACAATTCCCTGTTTTACCCTTCAAGGAGTTCTTTTATGTTCGAATAAGGTTGCTTTTAATGAAATTTAAACTCATCAGAGGAAATCAAAACCCTCAAATCAGATTACA